TCTCTACACGCTCTGCGGCGGCTGCCACTGCTGCTGCTCTCGCTGTATCAGCATCTGCATACTTCCGCTTCTTTGACGTGATCTTCTTCATCGGCTTGCCTTTCACATTAGTAGGCAAGCGAGGCAGAGGCCTTGGATTCTCATCACCTGGACCACCTCTGGCATTCTTGACACGTGCCATTGCTGAAGCTAAAACTAACTCCAATCACGGACAAGAACCAACTATCACTGACACTTCCGAGGCTTGGCCTCGATCCGTACTCGTGAGCTTGGCCCTGAGTTGACTGACAATTGCCAAAGTAACCTCAGAAACACCAACTCGCTGCACATTAGAATAGATCGGATATATGAATAATTTCAATATACATCTAGAGATACAAAACCCTAAGAAGCAAGCAATAGGTACAAAATTAGAAACGAGGGCTTGCTACCTGACGAACCGGTGATCCGAAAAGCAGAGGAATGAATCATGGAGAACCACCGGGGAACACCTAGGGTTAGGGTTCATGCGACGGCCGAGCACTGCGGTGAAGTGGTGACTGCAGACAAGGCTAGGGCACGGCACGGCGGCTCTGTTGCTGGGTGTGGAAGCTAGCGGCTAGGGCGCAGGCAATGGCATGGCACGGTGGCGCTAGGACACGGGCGTGGTAACGCTGCTGCTGCGTGGCGCGAGGCTTAATGCGACGACCAGAGGGCGTGTGGTACAGCAAAGCGGTGCGGGGGATCGCGGGCTATGCGGCGGCAGTGTGGGGATGTGATGTGCTTGAGCAGCGGCACATGGCGGCATGGCGGTCGCCAAGGCATGATGCGGGCATAGCGGCATGAGATTAGGGCATGGGCAGGAGCGGCTGGGCGATGGCGGAGATGTCGGCGTGGCTGATTTGCGACATGGGGATTAGGTCAAGGCGGTGCTGTGATTATATGAGGTGGCCCACCATGATGGATCAGGAAACGGAGAAGAGACCTAAAACCGCATGACTTCTACTGACCGGACGCTCCGGTGGCAATGACCGGACACTACCACCTAGAGTTCGGTCGACTCCAGAGAGGTCCAAATCCCCTCGAGTCACGACCGGACGTGTCCGATCCCAACTGACCGGACGCAACCAGAGTCCGATCAATCCTTAGATCTTCTTCTTTGCTTGACTAGACGCAGGGACGTCATCTGACCGGACGCAGGGAAAGAACTGTTTTAGCGTTCGGTCACTCCTTCGCAGCAATGGTTCACCTCCTGTGAACTGACCGGACGCTGGACTTTAGAGTCCGGTGCAGCATCCGGTCACTCTTTTTAGCAATTCTTCAAAAATCCTTCGTGCTACCTGTTCTCAATCAAGTCCCAACTTCAATAAGACCCAAATAAACACCAATTGGGACTGATGTGAGTGACCTCTCTCAAACCCTCAAATTTTTCAAAGTATTTTGCCTTAGGCTATAATTCTTTTTAAGAAAATAGGCAATAAAAGGGTGATTGAAGAGAAACAATAAAACAACATTCATGCATATGCAATGCAATACTTGAAAGTAATTCTAGTTGCTTGTCAAGTTTGATCCAAGGTTAAGCTTCTTCACACACTTTTCGGCGGTTATCTTAACCATGTTAGACAAGCCCTAAATGCATTACTAAAAATTTAAACATATTGTATATTACAATGCAATACAAGGGACAACACAAGCTCATTTTCTAGTGAAGTTGCTAAAATCAAGCACATTTAGCTCATTCCTCAACCGACAAAATGTAGCCTCATCTAGCGGTTTAGTGAAGATATCCGCCAATTGATCCTCAGTCCTTACACCTTCTAGTAAAATATCATTCTTAGCAACATGATTTCTAAGAAAGTGATGGTGGATATCTATGTGCTTGGTGCGAGAGTGTTGAACCAGATTATTAGCAAGTTTTACCGCACTCTCATTGTCACACAAAAGAGATACCTTATCTAGAACTACACCATAGTCTAGCAAAGTTTGCTTCATGTAAAGTATTTGTGCACAATAAGCACCCGCGGCAATGTATTCCGCTTCGGCGGTGGACAAAGCCACACTATTTTGCTTCTTGGAGGACCAAGACACAAGTGATCTACCAAGCAAATAGCATCCTTCGGATGTGCTTTTTCTATCAACTTTGCAGCCGGCATAATCCAAATCGGAATAGCCAACTAATTCAAATCTAGCTCCTTTGAGATACCAAAGGCCAATGCTTGGTGTGTGCTTAAGATATCTAAGGATTCTTTTAATGGCAATCAAATAAGCTTCCTTAGGATTAGCTTGAAATCTAGCACACATACACACATTAAACATGATGTCGGGCCTAGATACGGTTAAATATAACAAGCTACCAATCATAGAGCGGTAGAGAGTTTGATCAACCGTTTTACCTTCCTCATCTAGGTCAAGATGTCCATTAGATGGCATTAGTGTCTTGATTGGCTTACATTCATCCATATTGAATCTCTTGAGAAGATCCTTGGTATACTTTTCTTGAGAGATGAAAATCCCTTCTCTCATTTACTTTACTTGAAAACCAAGAAAGAATGTAAGCTCTCCAATCATTGACATCTTGAACTCCTTCAACATCAATTTACCAAACTCTTTACAAGAATCTTGATTTGATGATCCAAAGATGATATCATCAACATACACTTGACAAATGAAGATATATACACTTGATGATATCAGCGTCCGGTCACATTTTTCTCAGCGTCCGGTCGCATCCAGACGACTTCACCTTGATCAAATGAACTGACCGGACTTTACGCCAGCGTCCGGTCAATATTTGACCCTCCATTCACTTCCAACTCGTAATCACATGTGAATGAAGTTTGCTCCAATTGATCTAAGGGCTATTTAGGAGCTACCTAGTGCTAGCTTTGACAAGTGTGCACCACACCTAACCCACTAGACTCATCTAGGTCAAGCTACTCGTCCATACCCCCCTAAATAGTACGGCCAAAGGAAAAACAAAGTCCTAAACTACTCTAAGTGTCTCTTCAACACCAAACGACACTTAGAACTAGTCCATCCTTAACCTTGTCGTCCATCCTTTGAAAACAGAAATGATTTCCATCGTAGGGGCATGACAATCATGATTGCCCAATCAATTATCATTACCATGACCTAACTTAATTGCATCTGCAAAACAGATGTTAGTCACAGTAATCTCGTATTGTCATTAATCACCGAAACCCAACTAGGGGCCTAGATGCTTTCAAGCAACACACCTAGCAAAACCGTAATTGCACATTTAGATAGTTTATCTTTTGCATAGGTTTTGACTAGGTGAAATTAGAGGCCTTAGTTAGAGTTAGAGTTTTAAGTTGCCTAATTCATAACCCCCTCTTAGGCGTCATGGTCCCCTTTACACCTAGGATGCCGCTGAATCTTGCCGGGAAACTCAACGAAGAGCAAGAGGGGTTGAGAGAGGGGAATTAGGGCAAAAGGCATTAATAGATTGGTTTGTATGATGATTGGATAGATGGAAACTCAATCGGCCATGATCCTCTCATATATATAGAGGAGGTGGTCTTATCCCAGTAGGAAACCTCTCCAAGACTTAATCTCTAAGTTTCCCACGAGTTTGGAAGAGTTGGGATCGAGTTTGAACTCTCATTGATTCGGACTGCGAAAATCAGAAGTTCTGATTTTCGCGCAAAGCCAGCACCTCTAGGCGAACATCAGAAGTTCTGATTTCCGCACAAAGCCAGCACTTTTAGGCGAAAATCAGAAGTTCTGATAGAGGGGTCAGAAGTTCTAATTTTCGTACAAACTCATAACCTCCAAGCAAAAATTAGAGGTTCTGACACGGGGTTAGAAGTTCTGGTAAGGTGAGATTTTCTTGAGGGAATAACTCCTTCATCCACACTCCGAATTAGACGTTCCATATATGTTTTTTGACCGTCTCGACGAGAGGAACGCAATGGTGAAGTCTGTTTCACATTTTGACAACTTTACATAATGGACAATTTTGGCTGTCAACAGATTCTTTGGTCTACTTGCTCAAAACAAAGACCAGAGGAACTGACAAAACAAGGTGAGATGCGGTTGAATTCCTTGCACGTGCATCCAACATATATGCTAGTAGTAGTCAATTACTTGTCAATTATATCATCCCGTCAGGTTGAAAACCAAATGGCCAGCAAGCCTTTCTTTTTCTCCTTTTGAGCCCTTTTCTTTACGACAAAAGACAGAGATGACAATTACTTTTTATTCTTTTTCTTCAAGACAACAGAGATGTCAAATACTAGCTCTAGCTCAAGAATCCCTAAAGCGAGCTAGAACTTTGGGCGCATTAAAAATATTAGGTCGAATATTTTGGATTAAAACATGTTTAAAGCACTTTATTTTATGCCAGACCTGATCATGGGCTATCCGATCCAACTTACGCGAAAAAAAACAACCATCAGGTAAGCTCAAGCCATAGTTTTCGACCCATGACTCAACCAAAAAAAACACCAAACATAGAAAAACCCAAGAAAGAACCTAACCTGGTACGAACAGACGTGCCCAACGAGAGGGCATAGGCCAAAAACTTGATCTCGACTCGACTTGACGTTTGATAAGGTCTATTTTATAATAGACTCCGAATTTCATTTGAAGTGAAGACAAAGCCTCCCCCAGCTCCAGTTCATTAGTTCATTTGAAGTGAAGCTGAAGCCGTTAGAAGCACGCAAGCAGAGAAGCTGAAGCCGTGTGGAGCCATGCCAAAGAGGGCATTATAGCTTCTTCAGTTATGCTCTATCTAGTGGCTCTCCAACTATTCAGAACGACACGATGATCCATGTTGACAAAAGCAGATGATATACCACGATAAAAATTAACACACAAGTTACATTGGCAACTGGTCCTATCTATATCGCTATACAAAAAATTGGCACGTAGCCTACACAGGAGAGGGTTACGGGCTTACGGCCCACAAGGCCACAGCCCACAAGTATCAAAGCTAGCCGTCAGACAGCAATACAGATGACAGCCGGGTCTGAGAAAGCTAACAGTTCGAATTCGCGGCTTCACTTGCCCAGATGAGTCAAGATCCTGCTGACAAGTACCTCTTTCTTACCAGAAACCGGGAGGTCATGCGCGGTCAGGTAGGATTTCAATTCTGCCGCCGTCATTTGCTTCAGCTGCAAATGACAACCTCGGAATTTAGAAAACAATTATAGTAACCAAACAATATTGTATAACATGTCAATGATTATTGGCAATTGCAAAAACTTCAGCTCTAAATTCATTGGCAAATTTCACCTAGAAGTGATATGCTGAATTCTAGTTGCATGTATACTCAGGAGACAAATTTTTAATTAACTTTAGCTTGTTGGTTAAGAAGAATTTGAGTGCATTTAGTGTCTGCAGAATAAATCCAGTGCCTCCCCGTTTATGGATATGGATCTTGCTAAAAGGATCTGACTACTCACTTTTCCATTGTCTGCAAGTTCTGCCCAATCATAAGCAGCACTTATCTGCGCAGCTGCATCAGTGATTTCCTTCCTCTTTTTTGAAGCATCACCACGGGAAGCTTTCCCTGCTGCTGCTTCTGCCTCCTCTTGGTCATAATTTTCACCATAGACTGAAGTCTTGAATTCCTCAATAGCTTTGACTACCCCTGGCCTGAGATAAGAATAGCAAGGAACATCCCACACAAGGCACAAATAAGATAAAGAGATAACTATTGCAAATTGCTTTTATATAACCAACAGGAATTCAGCTTGTTTAAGCATTCAATAAGTTATGCTTCCATCTTGTTGCGCCCTGTTTGGGAAGAGTGACATCACCAACAAGATTACCTATTTCAAAGAGAAAGGGAGTATATAGTTTAGCATGCATATAAATAGACAAGCAAAAGAAGTACCTAGACAAGCCTTCTTCGTCAGGCAGGGTCTCATCCTTTATATCAGGCATCTCATCTTCGCCTAAAGCTAAGGCCTCCAAGATCCCATAGTGTCTTTGCAAAGCTGTTGATGTTGGACAACAGAAGCCGTATCAGAGCATGTACATGTGACTGAATTTTGTGTAATTACGGAAGTGATTTGCAAGTGAATAAAATGCTTGTTATAATATACATCAATGACATTTTAGCCCAACAAGCAACATCACATGTTCAACAAGCACTTTTCAAATATTGAGCATTTATGTAATCCACCAAAAAAAATGTGCCTGCAATAGGTCTCCTGATCTTCATTAGAGCATCATCTGGTAAATGTAAATACTTTTCAAAGCTATGGAGCATGTTCATAGTGGAGCCTAAAGTAAAGCAGATGATTCTAGATGTTGTGGGCTTATAGTTGACCCTAGACTCTAAAGATAAATTTCTGAAGAAGTTTATGCCCAGGTTAAGAAGACTTTTTCAATCACTTATGGCATGAAACATTTAAGAGCACACAATTTATTCTTGTTCTTCATTTTGCACTCAGCTTTAATATGAGCTAATAAGATAGGGTCAAATGCAGGAGGCAAAAAGATAGCTTAAGAGTAGCATTGTCAATAATGACTTCATAGCTATTTACCTGGGTTAGCAAATTGGCATGCAGAGAAATTTTTTAGATCAATACGTTTGAATAGATTCGAAGCTTTCTTGATTTGTTCATCTGTTGCACGTGGTGCATCATCATAAGTCACATGAACCTGCAAACCAAAGTAAGAAAATTAGCTTAAGGTGATGGTAAAGTTAAACTACAACGCCAGTCCTTACTTCTTCAGGATATCTAATATCATCCGAGTATGGAAGATAGATCATGTGCATGCCAGGCGGTTCAAACTGGCCACCAGAGGAAGTAACCTCTTCCTGTTTTATTGACCAATATAGACCAGAGTTAATTTTGAAAAGCATATTAGGATATATTGATATCAAAATGTTAAATAGACATGGTAGGACAGAATCCCTCACTTGAGCAACAAGGGCTACGAGCTGTGGTCGAGTTGGATTCCCATAAAATGCAAGTGCAAACCTGAAATCATACACATGCTATATTTTACATATATGATTGTTTAAGTAAGTCCATTTTGTTATAGATCACCTCGCCATGTCTGGCTCTCTTTCCTCAACTGGCCTAGCATAAAGTTTGGCTACCTTACCTTGCCCACCTAAGAGTTTCTTGACTTTGAGAGAGACAAATTTACTCTCCCTAACAAGGATTTCCTTGTTCACTGTCAAAGGTTGGTTAAGCAAGGCATGGAAACAAATTATGGCCAACGACTTGCTTCTTGAGACTCAAACTTCCAGACTAACAGCGGCATGCAATTGCATGTCACGGTACCAACCAGTTAACCACAGCTGGTGATGTGATATGTTTTACTGTGCGTGTATTGCATAATTCAAAGCTACTGCAAAATGTCATATAAGAGCATAATAACAATTTACAATGCACTAAGATGATTCAGGCCAGCTTTATCCACATTCAGAGTATTTAGTTTTCTTGATTCAAAGTATTTTCCTTATACAGTTGCTCAAAAAAGGCTGATGGGAAAATAATAGTGGCTAACCTTCCAAGACGTAACATTGAGCTATGTAAGGCAACGAAAACACAAGTGCTTCCAAATATACGCTGCATGAGAGCATAAGGGTGAGCCAACTATCTGATAAATGCACAATAAAAGAAAAGAACACATTATATGGAAGAGCCTCAAAGAAATAACACATAGAATCCTATGGAAGAGCCTCAAAGAAATTTCTACCTCACCTAGAAAACTGCTTTAAGTTTGAACTATTTGTTGATGCATAGCCTTAGTTCTATAGTATGTAATCAGTTCTTGTGTCCCTTGCACATTCTTGTAGTTTTGGTATTGCAGCCCTCTTGTGCAGTAACCCATTGTTTGCCTAAACTGAGTAACAATTTATTTACTACACTAGTCAACGTTCAGTAGGGTCCTCTAATGTCCTTATATGGCCAAAGAATTATTTTGGTTCAAATTAATAATAACTAACATGATGCAGACAAAGTGCTAACTCATTGTTGAAACAAAAGATGAAATTTTATATGAGAAAAAAATCACTAAAGTTGGTTTAGTATGCACCTAAATACTACATCAAGTTGGACACTGTTCACTTCATCCTTCTACAATGAAAATATATATTCACGAAGAAATTCTTTAAATTTTGAACTTATATTATCTGCCAAAAGCTCAGAAGCAAGATGACATGGAAAAAAAATAACGACATTCTCAGCATTAAGTGGATAGTTGCAGTACAGCAGCAAACTACAACTGGACACTGAAGCAATCCCAGAAGAACACAATACCTGATCACTCGGATAAATAAATGTTGATGGTCTTAAGTTATGATAATCTTTCAAGCAATCCAATGGCTTGAAACCTAAAAGGCGAAGATGATGGCTTGCAACCCTTTTAACCTCAGAGAGTTCATGTACAGAAAATTTGACAATTGTGCTGCACAAAAAAAAAATGCATGGATAGTAAAAGTGAAACTAATATATAACAGTGTAATCCAACACAATGAAATGCATCAAAATACTAGTGCAGCCAAAACTATCTTGCAAGGCATGCATGCAAAAATAAGCTTCATGATCTTGCAATATGCAATAGACTTTCTAAAACATAAAAAAAGGTGTTATCAGTGCACAGGTGAGGTTAGTTTGCGATTTGAAACTTAGAAGTGGTTTCAGAGCCATCCATGTCTGCGAATTCTCAGTGCTCCATAGGAATTCATTTCTTCCATCTGAAAACATGCTCACATGCCAGCTCCCAAGGCTTTTCTCAATATAATGTTTAATAATGATATGTTCTAAAAGGTGTTTGAAATGAAATTGTTTTGTGCAAGAGTGCAGTTATAAGTATCCTCCTTTTCAACCACATTGATATAGATAGCAAGAAGATCATACAAGTCAACAGTAAACCATCACCCAAAGATCATACACGAGTGCCAGTGTTGTGTGTGCTTACTCATTGTACATCTGGAAACGTGTCTGTGCATCCTGAAGTAGAGCCCCAGTATCATTGCATATGAAAGACCTCTCAGCCTGCATAAACATTCTAGTTATTATATCTTATATGTGGAAGAATCATAAAAGTAACATTGGTCACTAAATAAGACTCAAACCCAACTTAACAATTGTATATGGTTGTGCATCCAAGCAATCATATGAATAGACTTTTGTGTCATGTTAAAAGTCTCTAGGCACTACAATAGTTCACAAAGAAGACTTTGAATTCTGGGCCAATTTCCTTTTTGGTGCGGTAGATACCTCTCATCTCAACAAGAATTAGCCTTACATATTCAATCAGATCAGATCACTGATAAACTTTAGCTCCACAGTCATATATTCATGTGGCTTAGCTATTCCTTTGCAGTCTCGTCCCATCCATTAGTCAAGGGAACTGGACACTAACATATGTGCCTGTAGATTTTCAGTTTGGTTGTTACTGGTTTTTGCATGTTATTATCTGGTTGTGAAAGAAACACAGATCCACAGTTTTTTAAGAAAAATCACAAAAATGTATTGCAGAGTATCCCAGCACTTGCAAGTTATGATAATGTATATTATACTGTAGAATAATAAATAAATAAAATAATTTACAAGTATTTTTTCATTCCTCTCTCAACGTGTATAAAGTATGGCCGATTATTCAGCAATTCTATACCCATGTCTGTGATAAGCGATAAACTGTGAGGAGCTCAAGATTCAACCAGAGCGAATCCATTTTGCAGCAGGGGGGCTGGGACACTATATACTCAAAGCCATACTGCCATAGAGACATTAACATAAGAGAGTCCACCTGCAACATAAAGCCCCTGAGGCGATTTTGACCCATGCAGTTCAATACTTTGGTAAGCACTAATGCAACATTTGAAGGTGAAAAAAAAGGATGACCAAAACCTATCAAGGGTACCATTATAGAGAAATCCCCCCCCCCTCCCCCCACCCCCCTCTCAGGGTACAAGGTAATGGCATTCATAATATGGGTTTGCGAACAACCTGATATATATTTGTATTATCGATGATCCTATAATGTCAGCAATCTCAAAACAAGAGTATTAGGCCAGAAGTATGCATGGTCATTATGGTCTGTGTTGCTGTGACCGGTGAGGTGGTTTACAACTTTTTCTACTCCCTCCGTTCCAAATTATAAGTCGTTTTGACTCTTTTGGTTCATCCATTTTGCTAGATACATAGCAAAATAAATGTACCAAAAAAGTCAAAGCGACTTATAATTTGCAACGGAGGGAGTATGTATCATGTATGAATTAACGACAACTTCTTTCATGAAAGACAGTAAACAAAACTTGTTCACAGGTCAAAGTTTAACCAAAGAAGAGCAACATGGAACTGATTTTAATCATATGCTCACCTTTAATGGAAGGTTACTTAGTGAATCAAGCCATGTGATTGTCCCTAAAAAAATAATCAGCGTATACTTAGATGTTTCAACACCAATAGTTTGTAATAAAGCATGAAATAAACCAAAGTCAGAGCATGCCTGGAGTAGTAGGACGGACCAGCGCATATGTATTCACTTCTATGCACACATCATTTGTGATTGCAAATGAAAGAGTTTTGACTCTGCGCTTCTTCATTATTCGTTTTCTCAGTTGATTAGTCATATCCTCTAGCCTTTAAAGACATAAATGAAAAATTGTGGTTTCCTCAGTTGATTAGTCATATCCTGTAGTCTTTAAAGACATCAATAAAAAAATGTGGAAGAGAGAGAATTTAAACTAAAACGTCCATTCAGAGAAAATACAAACTTCCCAAATGATTAGAGATCAACAGACCAGCAGCATAGCAAAGCATAAAAGACCAAGCAAGACACAAACATATGGTATAATTTTTAACATACTCCTGCATAGCTCTATAGCTGGAGTCTACAAAACCTCTATAGAATAAAACAATCATTTTTAATAGATGCACTAAACACAAATAAGTAATTCATGTTCTACTATTGGATAGTGGATAGTACCACAAGAAACCCACAAAATATTGTATCATATAACATCAAATACATGGATAACTATGTCCGATTTTTTCTCAAACACGGAGGAGAGCTGCATATTTTTATAATAAGAAAAGATGAGAAAAAAGGGGGGGTAAGGAGCCCCACGAAAGAAGACCAGCCCATACACACACACACAAAAAAAAACACTACAACAGACTCACACACTGACAAAAGTCTGCAAAAGTGCCCTCCATGACAGATTTTTTGATAGAGGTCAAGGACAAGTCTACATGAGATACTGCTATGAAGCTGTGGTGCATAGTGGTGTGTGGTTGGTGTTTATTCCCGTGTGTAGAGGGGTGGGTGTGTTCAATTAATTGCAAAGCTCTTGCCCTCTGTTCAAAGAAGAAAAGACAAGTCCAAATGGAAACAAAAGAGAGGCAACTGTGATTTTATAAAACATGCTCGGGCCTGTTTGGTTGTGCGTCCAGGCATAGTTGCTTGGCCAGGCAGCAACACCAGGCCGTCGATTTTGAGCGCCTGGCGGCTGGGATCGCTGCCTGGCCAGCACCCTGCCTGCAGGTCGCAATCCAAACAGCCCTGCTATCTCCGTTTATAACTCAAGTGTGAATGTCTGATTTATTTGTGCTAGGAGATTGTAAGAATAAAGTACGGTTAAATAAATATCATCTAAATCCGAAAAATACATAAGTAATATTGATGTTTCAAGAATATAGTACCTAACACCAGCAGATGGCAAATACTCGGTTATCTCATCCCCATCCAGACCAATTAAATCCTGGGCAATTGGAGCTGTTCAGCAGTTAGCACATAGAGAAGAGAAAAAAGCAATTATGGAGACTTACTGCATAAAACAGGGACATGTCGAACTGCTCATCAGGCCGGCTCAGTGGAAGAAGTTCAATAGACAGGCCAAGATCTTGTGCATCCTGGAGAAAAGAAAGTATTGTTATGGTAAACAAAGGACAAAAAAACATTTTGAGATGTGCTGGCAGCATGCAGTTTTAAATAGAAGAATTGCCTTTGCACGTTGAACTGTTGTCCTAATCATATCAGTTTTCACTGCTCCTGTAATAGTACCAAAAGGATCATCTTCATTGGTGAATATAAGAATTCGTTTACTGACGGTCTTCACAGATCTGAAAAGTTTCAAATGAGGAACATGGAATGACTAGATTCAGACAGGCATTAAGTGGTGAAATTGAAGGAAGACAAACACTATATGCATGCTACATTCACTTTACCAATCAAATACCTACACAAACTGATGCAGTCTAGTTTGTATAACGTGAACAAATTTTAGCTTCACTGAGTGATCCTACATGAAAGGTTGATGTACAAAGGCTACATAACATGTCAATAGGCAATAGCCCCCACTAAACAGCAATTTGTTATTGGATGCAAATTACATGACACTGCTCAAAGGCCAAAAGAAGGGAAGTAGTCATACCCCTTGCGCAGCAGAGCCTGAGCAACCCAAAGAGCATTATACAGGGTATTCTCTCGAGATCCAGATGTTATTCCATATCGACTTCCAATGGTGCTCATAAAAGAATCTGCAGTTAGTCGAAACAAAGGTTTATAACCAGAAAAGAAAACAGGATTGCTAACTTTCCCCCCTATACATATCTATCAATCCAGGCCAAAACGAAATTTATATCTATATCTATATATCTTATAAAAGTGGTCCACACTACATATCTATCTCTCCATGCAAACTATCCACGTCTGCAGCCCGCTAGCATGCAATTATGAAAGCTCTCTCTCCATGCAATCTACCGACATCAGCTAGCCACAACACCTATTAACATGCATTTAGTTGTCCACATCAGCGAGCCACATCATACAGCAACATCCATTTATGATAATCTACCCCTCCATGCAAGCTTTCAATACCAATAAGTCACATAAGCCAATAACTATAGACCGTCCCATTTTCATTCCAAACCATCTGCGATTCCCACAGCAGTGTGCGGGGTATCCTTCTAGTTAACAAGAAAATCTTATGAGTATGATAATCTAGGCAGTATATACTGTTACACACTACACTGCGTCGAATTTGAGAACATGAAACCAGCCTGATGAGAAGCTATAATGAGATTTGAGATTTATTTTTTAATTAAGTCTATATGTCTTATGTTTAGACATGTGAAGTTTTACTCACGAGTTACGAACTAATGTTACAACATAAAAGGCGGTAGACTTTCTGTACTTGAGAAAGTGAGTGGAACTTGGAAGCAATATTAGTGACATGGGAAAAACAGGGAGACCCAAACAAAGACACTTGTATGACGAAGAAACATCACTGCACCCAAACGAAATCAAGGATTCTACTGGATGATAAATAACTTTAGCCAAAAATATTATCCACGAACCACATCCTACTGAAAAAAGTTGAGCATGCATATCCCTCAAACTTTGACCATATGTCACCAAGGAACAATTCATACAGTGGTATTACCTTCTATGGAAGAAAAATCTTTGATAAGTTTTGCAGTGGGTCTATCAAGTTCTTCTCTGTCTCCAACATTATAAACATAAACACCAGCTGAGTCCTGTAAATTCTTCTTCTCTTTCTGCGAGTTGTGAGCAAACCGGATCAAGGAACTGGGCACTATGCTTAGCAATATCTGTGCAATGGTTCTACTTTAAATGCTATCAACACAAAGTTCATGAATAGTGCAAGGGATCTAAGCAGGCAAAGTTGAATATTTGTTGAGAAATGACTAATAACTAATACAAAAAGGACAGTTGCATAGTTAGCTCATTATTTCACTTTTAAGAAAATAAGCAAAATACTGCAACCCATCTGCATCTATATTAAAGAAACTGTCATTCCTGACTCTGACCCTCTCGTGTCTTACTGGATGCAGCAGCACTTGAACTGTATTATTTTTGGCTTCATGCTCGCTAGTCATCAAGCTTAGTGCCTTAGTTCGCTCTATGCAGTAAATAATAAGTAATGTTGGGGGTCACTGAGACACATCCAGTGAAGCTTTCAAATTTTGCCTATTGATGTTTTCTGTTAATAATTAATTGCAATATAAAACTGTGTTTAGATTCGTCTCACAACACACTATATTAATATTATGTTTTCTAGGTTTATAAATGAAGTTACAATAGAAACTAGTGGTCACATTTGTGTTGCTATGAGCATATGGCCCTTTTGGATACCATTTTGGTTTCCAATATCCAATTATTTGTGACAGGTGGTAGTAATGATATATTGAGTAAAACTGGAAATGTGCAAATAGAGTTCTAACATAAAGCAAACAAGAGTTGACAACATGCTCTTTCCTTCTTGCACTCTTACGCCCCGCAGATGCTTGCGATAAAATCAAAGTAACTCAAATAGGAAAAACAAAACTGCAAACTACAAAAACTGCTAGAAGCAGAGGTGTATGCTTACTGATTTGAGAAAGCTTACAGTGTTTAAGAAACATATTGCGACTTCATCGTAAGATCTACCAATAATTTGTGTCTTTAGAGACTCTGTGATGCAGCTAACAATGGTGTGGAAATGTGTGTCCTGCTTTTCATTGTCCTGAAAAAAAAATGTTACATTGTTATTTAGTAATGTCGCAAGCCCCTAAAAGAATGTCAGGGCAAAACTTGGCCACATAGACTGAATAATTGGATACTGACAAAAGGGCAAACTGACAAAGTAGTACATTTAGCATTGCATTACCTAAAGGTTATGAGGAGTACTCATCAGTTGCCTTCTTCCTAAAATCCTATATGGCGATGGATCCCAGACAAACTACTACTAGCGAAAATCCAGAACAAACTTAATGATCCAACTTCAGACTAGGTCTTAATTTCCAAATAGAGACATAAAAAACTGATACCCAGAATGTCAAATTAAGTGGCGTAGAGTAATTGTGCCTCACCTGGGTGGTAGCAGGGGTGAACATTTTGGGCGAGGCGTCGACAAGGTAGACAACCATCTCCTTGTTCGCCTCCCTCTCCTGATTCCCCGAGCAAGCAATCCACAACACGCAAAGAATGCGGTGCCGCAGCAGCCAGCAGGGTCAAATTACTTTTCAGAACACTGCTCCAATAGAAGGGGGAAAGAAGAAGAAAAAACGCAGGGAAGAGCCGGTACGAACCTGGACGTTGTCTTCGTCTTCATCGCTGTCGTCGCGGAAGATGCCCTCTGGGTCTAGGTCCATGGCGCCGGCTTCCGAGCGAGGGGTCAGGCTTCTGGAACTGGAAGGTTCTAGAAACTCGCTAGGGTTTAAGACAGCAAAGGGACGAAGGGCGCGTGGGTAGGGACTACTGCTGCGCTTGCTCTGTCTTCTCGAGGAAGAAACAAAGCGAAACTCAGCAGGGCCTACGGCGCATCTTCTCGAGGAAGGAGGAAGCGAAACTCAGCTGGGCCTACGGCGCGGGCCAGAAGTTGCGGATATGGCCCATGGGCCAACCTACACACGATCGGGGCGACCGGGTCAGGCACGCGGACGACGTGGCACGCGACTCGATGGTGGTATGGCGCTCGGAGGCACGCGGACGACGACGGCAAGGCACGCGACTTTTATGGTGGTATGGCGCTCGGCGGGGATGAGCTCGTCGGCGGTAGCTCTGGGCAAATTTTACCGAAAACCGAAAACCGACAACTGATAATCGAACCGAACTAACTGAGAACTAAAGTTTTGGTTACCCGTTTGATTCTCAGTTCTTAGGAATTGAACTTTGTTCGGTTAAATCGGTTCCTCCCTCGGTTAGCCGAAGAACCGAACTTTTTTCAGATGTCTCAGCTTGAGGAGGATATTGACCAATAGATCAGTAATTGGGTTGTGAACTTGTGATTTGTGAATGTGCTGATGTGTTGGTTGTGGTTATTTGGTTGTGACTTATTGATCTGCATATGTTGCCATGTCATTTATGTCTTGAAAACAGTCAAAATACTGCTGAATTTTTTTACTGTAATCTGTTCAATAATTGATCGGTTAGTTCGGTTGGAACCGAGAACCGAACCGAACTAACCGAACCCGAACTTGGTCGATACCGAGTTTTTTGAAGAACCGATCGATACCGAGTTTCCTGAGAACCGAACATCTTCAAAAATCGAGGAACCAATCGGTTCGGTTCGGTAAAACCGAACGCCCAGGCCTAGTCAGCGGGGAGTCGGTCAACGGACAGGCATTCGCGGTAGGGAGGCAGCCGGCGAGACGACCCTCATCGGTGGAAAGGCTCTCGGCGGGAGGAGCGGAAACAGCCGACGGAGAGCGAGAGGCGCTCGAGGACCATGACGATTGGCGAGGGAGGCCCATGAGTCCATGACGAAAGGAGCGGACCAATAGCTCATTAGAAAAAAGCGGTGGAGTAGCGTATAATAAATAAAGTAATAAAAAAAGAATATTAATTTTTTTATATATTTGTATTTCTCAATCTAAAACGAAATAAGTTTTTTTTTTGACTGGGGGAGTATACCTGAAAAAAAGGAAATGTTACTCGTTCAGAAAAGATAGATTTTACCTTTTTTGAAAATTTGATAAAGACTTAATAGAGCATTGTCATGTTATTGCTAACATTAGCTTAGATGTTATGATCATCACAGAAAAAATTATAGCTTTTAAATTTTATAGAAATGATAAAAGATAAATAGATATGTACTATTCACGTTGTTGTTTTCTATGATCGTTTTATATTTTTTTTCTCCAGTTGCAACGCACGAGCATATTTGCTAGTAAAAAAATCAGAAAAGAATTTTAATTTTTTTATATACTTGTATTTCTCAATAAAAATGAAATGAGTTTTTTTTTGGACTGGGGGAGTATACCCGAAAAAAAAGGAAATGTTACTCGTTCAGAAAAGATAGATTTTACCTTGTTTTGAGAAAAAATAGATTTTACCTCAACACTAGACCTCTCCAACGTCAAACCAGGGTCATGTTTAGTTCCATCAAAATCCCAACTTTGACACTATGTAAAAAGAAGATTTCCCGTCACATCAAACTTGCGGTACATGCATGGAATACTAAATATTGATAAAATCAAAAATTAAATGCACAGTTTGGTTATACTTTACGAGACAAACGTTTTGAGCCTAATTAGTCAACAATTGGATAAATATTACCAAATAAAAACAAAGCGTCACTGTAGCTACAGTGTAACTACAGTGATTCCGTCGGCGCCGAATCGGCCGAACTAAAACACGGCCCAGGCTCAAACGCTCAACACGGGTCGAGGAAAACCGACCACGGATAGGTGGGCTCGAAACCCATTTCCGTCCGGTACGTGCCCACCTGTCCACTCCCCGAGAATTCGAACGCCCAGAGAGGCAATGGCAAAATACGCACGGGTCCCCAAACGGAAATCTCCCGCCCCCTACCCAACAACATCCGCAACGAGCGCGCCTGCCTACTCGTCCGCTGGCCGCCACCGCGCAACGAAACCGCAATCCGCTCCAGCTCATCCCGCCTGCGGCGAGCGCGCCTCCCCGTCCACGCACACAACGCGGCCTGCCAATCTCTTTTGGTTTTGGAAACAACGGCGCCGCTCTGCATTCTGAAATGCCAATCACGCAAACCAGAATCCTTTTGGTTATTTGGGAAGTATTAATATGTAAGCAAAGCATGATTCTAGAGATTTCGCCAAGATTCCAGCGTCATTTTCGAACAAATCCCCAGCCTTTTCTCCGTATATGATGATGCTACGAACCTTCTCTACATCCAACAAAATCAACTAATCCAACAATTGAACGAAGAACCCGATTACAATTGCAGTCAAATGCAGAAACCAGAACCAAACATGATGCAATGCTAGGATCCTCCTCCAAAATCCAAATCCAACAAAATCAACCAATGCAGGAATTGAACAGCAGCAACCAGGAATCCAAACACAATCCAACCAAAAACGATCTGACAGCATTACGGTAACAGTCCCGGAATCATGAAATAGCATAATAATAATACTATTATAGCTTAAATCGATGTTCATCATACAGGCAGGGAGGAGCATGAGGACTGATCGCACACGATCAACCATCCCAAGTTTTTACAGACGACAGGCTACTACCCTTTTGAAGGCTCTGAGGCTCATGCCGGAGCTACTGGCAAATCTAGGAGCTACTGACAAGACGGATCAAAATCAAGCCGGAGCTACTGGCAAACACAATCCAGATAGGAAGGAGGGGGAAATCTATACTATAGGCCGAATGGAGCGAGGGGGGGTGACGCCGGCGCAAGGCAGGCAGGCAGGCAGCCTACTTCTTGGCCTTCCTGGCCGCGCCCTTCCTGGTCGGAGCAGCAGCGGCAGCGGCCTTCTTCGGGGTCGCCGCCTTCTTGGGCGATGCCACTGCCTTCTTCTTGGCAGCAGCAGCAGGAGCAGCAGCCTTCTTGGCTGCTGCCTTGGCGGGGGAGGCCTTGGCGGAGGTCTTGGCGACCTTAGGAGGGCGCCCGCGGGGCCTGGGCGACGCGGCGGCGGGAGCGGGAGTGGCGGGCTTGGCCTTCGCCTTGGGCTTGGGCGACGCCGCCGCCTTGGGCTTCGCGCCGTCTTGGCCTTCGCCTTCGGTGAGGCCTTGGGCTTGGCCGCGGTCTTGGCGGCGGCCTTGGGGACCTTCGGCTTGGCGGCGGCCTTGGGCTTGGCGTCGGTGGTGACAGGGCGGGGGGGCGGCAGCTTGAAGGAGTTCTTCACCCTCGTCAGCTTGCCGGCGGCAGCGAGCTTCTTCAGCTGCACGGTCAGCTGCTTGCGGAAGTTGGTGGGGAGCTTGCCGCCGTGCTTCGCCTCCACGTACTTGGCTATGGCCACCGAGCTCGACCCGGTCCTCTCCTTCAGGGCAGCGATTGCCTCTAGAATCATCTGCAACCAGACCCAAAAAATTCTCAGATTCAAGATCGATTTCGCGATGATAACAAAAACCAGCGCCAAGACCGATCCAACAGATTCGTCATCAAAAACAAGCAACCGAAAAAACCAATCCAGCGTTACAACGAATCAGCTCGATCGCAACGGACTAAACCACCGGCGCTCTCACCTCGGCGTAGGGAGGGTGCGCCGCCGGCTTCTTCCCCTTATCCTTCTTCTCCTTCGGCGCCGCCTTCTCCTTCGGTGCCTTCTTCGCCTTGTCCTTCTCCGCCTCCTGGGCCGCCGGTGCCTCAGCCTTCACCTCGGTCACCGGGACCTCGGCAACTACAGCCTCTTCCGTCGTCATCGCGACTACTACCACTACTACTCTCCCAACCCTCTCCGGAACTGCGCGTGCGCTGGTGCGTTCGCTCGCTGCGTCAGCGGCGGCGGCGGTGGGTGATGACTGATGAGACCGGAGGCGAGGACGAGGCCGCTTAAATAGCGGAGGCGACTGGAAAGGCTCAGGGACGTAGCACCGCGCTGTGATTGGTCGAAAGGGTTCACACGCGGATCGCTACCCCGCCGTGTCTGCAGCTCCCCGCGGGCCGTCGGATCCGCCCAGATCCAACGGGTGGGGACGCTCGCCGCGCGGTGGCTCGGATGCTGCCCTCCTGGGTCGACGCCAGCGGACGCGAACCTGTTCAATCTGTGCTTCTCTCCTAGATCCTCGAGCTCACCTCTCGCGACGTGATCCATCGTTTCTCTTGAAACTCAGTGTGTTTGTAGGGGACTAAATTGTCTTTCAAATGCGAGTGGTTTAGTCTAATTTGGTTGAGAATTCAGGGAGAAATTGGGGATTCGGTGAGGACAGGTCTGTTTGGGGGAATCTCCGTGCAAGTGTGCTTCTCTTCCGACTTTGGGGCACGAATTCTCCCGGCGTGGTCAACCGTTTCGAACCAAATTTGGTGCGGACATGGATCCCAAAATTATCTTTCGAATGGGAGCAGTCCCGTTCGATTTGATTGAGAATGGACTGAGAAATAGTCGATCAAGTGATGGCAGGTCTGGGCGGTGATTCTTGTACCCGGGGCTGTCACGATACAGCGTCTACGGGCTCGCTTTGCCGTGTACCACATAAAAGAGTGTAGGTTCAGTTACATACACCCAAAAAAAAATTTAGATTAAGACGTGTCACGTATTAGTATGTAGCATTATTATCAGAATCAAACATGAGGATACTAGTGAATAATAGATTCAGCACAAAGGGGAACAGTGATCAAGTTCTATAAGCATATTTTTTTTCTTCTAAATGTCCAAATTTTTCAAACAAAAATGGATAATAGCCGCGTGATTTCATGTTAAAAACAGCAAAAATGCATAATGGAAATTAGATCCATCAGTCAAGAACTTGTTTTTAAAGAAGTGGATCGGAGTTTCTTACTTCGGACTTGCTTGGCAAAGACAACAGATTCCCATGGCAAAGCTGGCATTTCCTGCTTCTCATCGGATGCTTTCGTGTAACCACCATCATTGAATCTTGCTTACTCCTGCCAAATACAAGATTTTTGACTAGTTAACAACGATGGATGTGACATCGGCACACAAGTATATACTTTGATAACGCGAGAGGAATAATTAAGTGAACATATCGAAGTATAGAATGTTCAAATGTAAAAAGAAAAACATCATTCCTTTCTGATGGAATGCTCGAGTGATTAACTGGGCATATCGATGCTAGATATAGAATGTCGAAAGGTCTTTTAAGTTGCTATGCATGCACGTTGGTTCTGAAGTCTACAGTGCTCACCAAAATAGGAGTCAACATTGTAACAAAGTTTGCCAATGTCGAAAGTAGTGAGCAGTGAAATTGTATTAGGAAAACTTTAGGCATTCAGGTCAGTGTCCCATGTAAGGCGTTCAACATTTTTGCTCCTTTTTAAGCAAGTTGGGTGACATGGGGAGATGTTCTATAAAAATTGAGTAGTTTCCATGTAGATTACTCTAAGAGAGAGAGAAAACGCAGCTAAGCCGACAACACATAACTACAAAGAAAGAGAAAAAAGAAGAGCAATTTGTAATTCAATTCACGTCATTCGCCGCCGCTGACCTCAGCCACTTCCAGCAGGCCAACAACACCCTCGATGTTGAGCCACCCTACCCACCTTCTGTCGTCACCCTCCTACATGCCCTCTACTGACTGAGCCAATCGCTCGTTCACATTGTTGACCTTCCCCGCCAAACATTCTCCATCGTAAGTCACAAGATGTTGTCGTCACCCGGCCTACCTACTCAACATGACTCCAACCATCCTCTTTAAGATCAATGTCCTTCCAAAACCTAAGACCGCAAATCTCCAATCCCCAAAACCATCCAACCCTAAATCTAGGGTTTTCGTTCTTCTTCAACTTCCGCTTCTTCAACTACACATCGCAAGATCTAACTTCTTCTTCAACCCCAAACCACCATGCCTCCAATATAGGAGTGAGAGAGAAATAAAGAAGGGGAAGAAGAAAGAAGGTTGACTTGCCTGGGTATCTGTGGTAGTTCGCCGCCGCTGCCACCAAAGTCTATGCTGCTTGATCTTATCCTCACCGGATCTAGAAGGGAGAAAGAGTTTGGATCTGGGCCGTTAGTAGCAGCACCGCTGGATCCGCACCTGGATGCGCGAGATACACATCTAGACGCGCCGGTGGTGGAGGAAGGGGAGTTGGATCACCGGATCTATGCTCGTTGGTAGGGAAGGAGGCGAGGGGCCGCCGGATCCACGGTGTTGGAGGTGCTCCGGCGATGGTGGTGGCGCCAGATCCGCTCGATCGTCGGGGTGAGGGAGAGGTCATCTATTGTTGCCGCTACCAGAGGTGTCGCGCCCGCGGTGGAGGGGTCGCGCACCCGCCACGCCGCTGCTGGAGAGCCACGCCCGTCGTGTTGCCTCCATCGCGCCGGAGAGCCAAGCTAGGGAGGAGGAGGGGTGCGCGTGGTGGCCGCCCCTTGTGTAGTCGAGGGTGAGGGAGATAGAGAGGAGGGCAAGTGAGGGAGTGAGAAGAGTGCGGCGGTCAGGTGAGACAAAGAGAGAAGGAAAGGTAGATTGAATAGGTGAGAGAAACCCTAACTCTGCTATTTATATAAGCCCGATAGGAGGTGTGGTTATGTGCTTTGACTGGGCCTCGGCCACATTAACGGGGATGGGCTTTTTAAGTGGACTGCCTGCGAAAATAGAGGCATTTTTGGATCTGTAAATATATTTTAGGAGGCGTTTATTTTTTAACCACCTCCGTAAATCGATTTTGCGAGACGGTTAATTGTGACCGCCTCGGTTAATGAAAATGACCGCCTTCGTTAATCGCCATGCATTAACCGAGGCGGTTGGATTTTGTAAATGCCTCGGTTAATAAAAGGGCACCGTCTCGCAAAATAATTTGTGTAGTAGTGTTAAGGCCCCAGATTTGAGAGGTTGATGTGCCTAGGATCCGTCATAGTCCACGACCACTGCCACCAAAGCTTGTGCTACTTGCCCTTGCTGTCACCAGATCTGAAAGGGTGAGAGAGTTTGGATCTGAGAGGAACCACATCAGTGACCTTGTGAAGAGTTAATAAGTTAAGGCATCAATGGATCTAAGAGGTTGACCTACCTAGGGATATGTTGTAGTCCACAGTCGCTGCCACTAAGCCCATGCTATTTGCCCTCACTATCACCGGATCTAAAAGGAAGAGAGAATTTGGATATGAGAGGAAGTGGAACGGTGACCCCATGAAGAGTTAATAGGTTAAGGCATCACGAGATCTGAGAGGTCAACTTGCCTAGGGATCCATCGTAGTCTGCAATCGCTGCTACCAAAGTCCGTCCTGCTTGCCCTCTCCATCACCAGATCTGAAAGGGAAAAGAGTTTGGATCCAAGAGAATGCGTCAGTGACCCTATGAAGAGTTAATGGGTTAAGGCGTCACCAGATTTGAGAGGTTGACTTGCCTAGGGATCTGCTGTAGTCTAGAGTCACTGGCACTGAAGACTGTGCTCTTGCCCTCATTGTCATCGGATCTGAAAGGTAGATAGAGTTTGGATCTGAGAGGAAGTGCGTCGGTGATGCCGTGAAGATTTAATAGGTAAACATGTGGTCCCTACTGCAGAGGAGGAAGGCTAAACACATGATCGACGCAATTAAGTCTTTACTAAATAAAGGCATAGGATTCCTACCACATATCTAATGGGTGCAAAAAAGCTTACATTGACTCATTTATATGTTCTGTATATGTCATTTAGAACTCAATTATGTGTTCCCAAATTTTATTAAAACATTATTTGTGTAAAAAAGACTTTGCATTAGAACAAACCAATACTCCTAGAGAAGTTGCATGTGTATCACAAGTGCATTGTGACACTATCTATCTACTATACGCATCATCGCCCTAACAAGAAAACCAATGATGTTATCTATATGCCACTTTAATCGGAGCAAGATAGGAGGGACGTCCTTACTTGGTTATCAATAAAATTGACATAAAATTTAGGCAAGAAGGCACAAACAAAGTGTCATGCCTTGTTCAAAGGAAGTTGTGTCAAAGTCACATTGTCATGTTTGACAGCTTCAAAACAAGTACATTTCTACAATCATGTTTATAATATGACGTGGAGGTTTTGTGTTACTCTCTTAGCATATATACCAACACAGTGTATAGGATGCATGCAATCAATCTCCCTTTGATCCACTGAAAGATATACTTATGAAGGTAGTAATGGGTAAAGCACATTGTTTATAATGAGAAGGCCAACCTGAAGAAGGTCAAAGTCAATATTAAAATAGGTCCCATCAATAACCTCAATGATGCCTAGAAGCTCACAGGGTGCATGATGGCCCTTAGTTGATTCATCTCCAACGGTCAACTTCCACTATGCAGCATTGTATCAGTGAAAGGATCTATGGATGGCTAGAGGGGGTGAATAGCCTATTAAAATTATCTACAATGACAACAACACTAGGCAAGTTGATTAGAATAAAAGACAATCCTAACAGCCACTAAAAAGCAAGCCTTTCTACATAATACCGGTAGCAAAAATTACTAGAACAACTAAAGCACATGTTGGAAAGTAGCGTTTTCCAGCAGGTGATACGGAGAGGGCCTTCGCCCGGTCGGGTGCCCCAGGCGAAGGTTAAGAAAGTGGTAGGTGGGTCCTGGCAGAATTAGGGTTCTATAAATGCACTCACCAACCTCTCAAACAAGCTTCAGCTCTCCCCTTTTATAGGGCGCTATTCACTACTTTTCCTTTTTACATCTTTGTCCTACAACTGCTATGGTACATTCCCTGAATATCCTCTTGTTAGTGCAGGTGGCCCAGGGCAAACTGGACCTTCCCTTTTTTGCACCGCCTT